GCAACAAAGTTTAAATACGTGTGACAAAATGGGAAATATTTGCACTAGATAGATGAAACAAACAGAAGTAGCCTCTATGATAGAATATGCATATGAGAAAGGGTAGCAGCATACGGTTTAAGAGCTCAGATTTTAGTTTTAGTACTTATTTATATTGTAGAAAGTTGGGGTGTAAGTCAGAGGTACAGGGAAGTTAAGGGGTGAGAGGATTCATCAGAAACAGACTGGGGAATAGAAGAGGCAGATCTATTGAAGTACACTGCTGAGGTAAGCAGTGGGCAGACAGCTAGGCCAAGAGCATGGGTTTTGATGTCAGGCAAAGCTGAGGAGAATACATGGCCTATAGTAAGCACAATAAATACTAGTTATTGTTTCTGATATTAAAAAATAGATCTATTATAAATTTTTTTAAAGTAGTCCAAGTAAAAAATGGGGCAGGACACACGCCCATGTTCATAGCAGCATTTTTTACAATAGCCAAGAAATGGAAGCAACCCAAGTACCTATTCCCAGATGAATGGTTCAACAAAATGTGGCATTATGTATGACATTATTCAGTTTTAAAATGTGCTGTAACACAGATGAACTTTGAGGATATTACACTAAGTGAAATAAACCAGCCACAAAAAAATTTTTATGAGACTACTTATATGTGGTGCCTGAAGTAATCACATTTAGAGAGAGAGAGTAGAGTGGCTGTTGTCACTGGGGCTGGGAGAATGGGGATAAATGGGGAGTTGCTGAAGGGGTACAGAGTTTCAGCTTTGCAAGCCAAGAAAGTTCTGGAGATTGTACAACATTGTAAATATAATTGACTACTGAATTGTACAAGTTAACTACATAGTTAAAATGGTAATTTTTATGTTGTGTGTATTTTACCACTATTGAATTTGAAGTGGTAAAGGATGTGAGACTTTTTTTTTTAGATTTATTTTATTTATGCATACAAGAATTGGGGTACAGGGCAGAGGTGAGGGACGGTTGAGAGGATTCACCAAAGACAGTGCGAAGGGGAGCAGTAGGCAAGACAAGAGAGGTCTGCTGCACCATATGGGTCACCTCCTTGGCTGGGGATCGAACTTGTTCATTAGTGGCTGTGGATAAACTCAGACTGCTACATACTTTAACCCTCTGTGCCACAAGGGAGGCCCGATTTTCTTTCATTTTTTAGAAAAAATATTTATTTATGCATACAAGACCTGGGGTGTAGGCCAGAGGTGTGGGGTGGAATTAAGGATTCACCAGAGACAGAATGGGGGAGCAGAACAGGCAGACTGACTGAAATACACTGCTGAGGGGAGCAGCGGGCTGGCCAAGAGAGGTCTGCTATGCCATGTGGGTTATATCCGGGGCTGGGGATCCAATTCATGCTAAAGTAGCTGCAGAGAGCTTGATAGTGCTGAGATTTAAGCCCTTGTACCACCAGAGAGGCCCCTAAGTGAGAGTTTCAATGATTATTTGGTCAGTATAATTATATGGAAAGATTCTTAGAGAGAACAGAGTCAATGAAGGACCAGATTATGGAACATGAGCTTGCCATAGAGACAGGAAAACCAAGTGGGTAGGAAGGAAATGAGGAATGTGGTATCAAAGAGGTCCAGAGGGAAGACTGTTTCATGAGTTTGTAGACCACAGATATAAATTGAGCTCCTACTATGTTAAAGGCTTGTGCAGTTAATATTGCTATCATTACCACTTCCAAGCTAAATCTTGCATTTAAAGTTTTTTTCTCAGTTTAAAGAACACTTAATTCTCTTCTAGTCCCAAACACTAATTTACAGGGTTACCAATTTTTAAAGTTTTATATCTTAAGCTAAAAGAAAATAAGCTTAACGTAACAACAGAAATATTCATATTACTCCTTTCCCATATCTCTAGGAAATTACCTGTTGGCATGAAAGTATTTCCTTCTTTGAGATAGCTTACCAATACAGATAGCAATAACATAACTCATTCCATTCCTACCCTTAGTATTCTATCTAAATAGCCACACAAGTCAGAAACGCAGCACAAATCAGAAATAATAATGATCCTAATTGATTATATATGTCAGAAGACTTTCTTCTTCGTCCTGACATTTTGCACATAACTAGGACCTAATACTTAATCTGCTTAAGTAATTTAATTTTCAATGTTTATTTTAAAAAGGGGACCCCAGTAAGTGACCAAAAGGATTATAATAAGTATCAAGTAAAATAAGTTAAAGCACTTTATAATTGCCAGCATTAAAAAAATAATCTTGGCATTAGTTGCTCAACATTAGTTTAACATTGCTGCAACGTGTTCAACATCTTTTATTTAACTGAATACACATAATAGAATTTTTTAAAGGAGAAAAAGACTAAGATTATCTTCCTTTTCTGTGTTAAGTGCTTTATGTTTATTAACTTAATCTTTCAAGAATTACACTGAATATTATCTCTATTTGCAGATGAAGACACTAAGTAACTTGCTGAAAAAGCTGTTAGTTGGTCATTTCCAGGGATGTGATAAAATCCATATTTTTATGATTCTATAATCAATTACCAAAAGCTTAAATTTTTCATCAAGCAACTAAAAATTACAAAGGAAAAGAAATCATATACCCAGGACACTTTGGAGGACTTTTGAATATCCAGTTTGAACTGGATCTGACTTCAAAGTCTTGTCTGCCTATAACATTTTATATTTGTATTTTACTATACAATATACTAAATCTTGTTTAATAGAAATATTTTAAAAAAACTTACCACTAAAAGGATTCGTCTCTTCCCTCTCAGAAAGAATAACATTTTTTTGAGAAAGCCTGGCACTACAGGAAGGTATATCTACCTTTGTTTAGTTCCTGGTGCCTGGCCTCAAAATCTTATCTCAACGTGAAAAGAACAAACTATACATTTTTAAAAAACCTTAAGACTGATGATGGTGAAAATGACAAGTGTCACTTGCAACTCAATGGCCTGAATAAGATATAATACGTAACTGCATAGCTATAGATGGAGTCAACAGTTAATGAAACAAAATTCCAACCACAACTGACTCCACTGAGTTTGATCTAACCGACAAGCTACCCCAGAATATATTAACATCATCTCTTTTTTAACCCAACACCCTGGTTCCTTTAAAATCAGAAACATGAATTCTCCCTGTAGATATTTATGTAATGACAGCTACATTCCCAGAAGCAAATCAATCTGGAAATTAAGCAATATATTGACTGGCAAACAAACCACACTTTTGACTATTACCATCAGACTGTCCCTCTCTACGAAAATGAGGACAAAACTTCTGGTATTTTCCACATTCTTACACAAATTGGGCTTACAATTTGGAGCTAGTGGAGCCTCCCTAGTGGTACAAGGGCTTAAGACACAGCACTATGAAGCTAGCTGCAGACACTGCAGCACCAGTTCAGTCCCTGGCCAGGGAGGTGACCCACATGGTGCAGCCGACCTCTCCTGACCCACACACTGCTCCCCTTAGCATTGTATTTCCGTGGATCTGCCTGTTCTGCTCCTCACTCTGTCTCTGGTGAATCCTCTCACCCCTCAACTCTGGTCTACACCCCACCTTTTGTTTGCATAAAGAAATAAATCTTTTTAAAAAATTGGAGATAGTTCTGGGTAAAAGACAAGATACTAGGTTTTAATTTTGGCTTCAAGAGAACTGCAATTATAGCCCTCTCTGGTGGCTCAGCGGGTTGGAGCGCAGCATTGCAAAGCTGGTGGTGGCCACTTCAGTGCAAAATCGATCACCACCCTGGCCGTGACCCACATGTCGCCACAGACCTCTCCTGTCCGGCCCACTGCTCCCCTCAGCAGTGAACTGCATCCATCTGCCTGTTCTGCTCCCCACTCTGTCTCTGGAGAATCTTCTCACACCCCCTGCACCATTGGCCTGTGCCGCAGTTCTGTATGCACAAATAAATAAATCTTAAAAAAAAAAAAGAGAGAGAGAACTGCACTTAATTTCTAAGTTCTTATTTTCCTCAAGGTTGTGAAAACTTGAAATGTGTGGGATTTACTAAATTACTCAACAGTGCTTTCTCCCCTAGATCTTAGGTATTTAGACAGCTCTTATTTGAAAATTTTAGGAGTTCCTTTAAGCTGGGCAAAGTTAAGATTAAAAATCGCAGCCAAAAGTATGGTATGGATGAGTTACTCTCTAAGCAAATCATACTCACCTAGTTACGGTACGAATTTGGAAACTACCTTTCAAACCGCTTCTCAACCCCCTCACAATTCTCTACTTTCGCAGCGGTCCCTCCCCACCTCTGTCTTTTAGAGGCCAACTCTTCCCTCTCAGCACCAGGGAACCCAGGCCCGGGCAACCCTAGGATGGTACTTGCCTACTCGTTCAGCTACTTCTTAGCTAGGCAGGCCGCGAAGAAGTAACGGTCTCGGAAACCACAGTGCTCCAGACTCCACTCGCGGGAAGGCGTGAGTGGGTGCGGGGACGGGGCGCCGAGCTCGCCCCACGCCTGTGGGGGAGCTGGACCACAATGCCTCGCGAGGTAGGGCGCCCCACGGCTGGGGGGGCAGGGGGGGGCTGGACCACAATGCCTCGCGAGGATAGGGCGGGAGCGGGAAAAGCTGCAGAAAAGGGGCGGGGGACATGAGCCGGAACTAGAACCCCATAAAGGAGAAGCGGATTAATCTGTGTATGACTGTTCCATGCAATTGGCCTACGTGTGTGTTTCTGCCATTGGTAACCCCAGGCTTCCAGCCCACAAGTAGGGCGACGGTGAGGCCATGTGGTCTATAAAATCCAGTGGGCCTGGCTCTCCAAACTTTGGTTTCCAGCCATCTTTTTATTGTCGGGGTGTAGGTCTCATGGGGAGACCCCAAGAGGGAGTCGTAGAAGTCGCGACGGAAACGGTACCAAGCCGTGTATATTTCGCAGAAAACCCCCGCAGGACGGCAGCGCGAGGCCGCGTGCAGCCAGGCCGCAGCTCCGCCCCTTCCTCCTTGCGCGTGACGTCACGGACGCGGGGTTCCGGGTTTTGGGCGCCGGGTGCTGCGCGCGCAGGGCCGCTCCACTGCGCGCCTAAGCGGCGGGCGTTGAAATGCAGCGGGACTTGTTGAGTTTCCCTCTGTCCCCAGCGGTGCGTGTGAAGCTGGTGTCTGCGGGTTTCCAGACTGCTGAGGAGCTCCTCGAGGTGAAACCCTCCGAGCTCAGCAAAGGTAACGACTCCCAGCGGCAAGCTGAGACGCTGGCTGCCGCCGATGACGCCTCGGGCTTGCTGCTTTTGCCTTCAGCCTCAGCCCACATTCTGCCGCTGCCGCCGCCGCGGCTCCCCGCGTTTACGTGGGAACGGCCCCTTGAAGCCACGTAAAAGTAGTCTGAATTCTCGGAATGTGCTCGTGAAAACATTTACTGATTGCTTCCTCTCCCATGCCTGCTGGACACCAGGGGGGCCATATCATTTATACTAAAAATAAAAGTCACCCTTTTGCGGGTGCATTATTATGTACAGTATATAGATGAAGGAACTGATGTTCGGGGAAGTTCACTTTTTATGGTGACTCGGCTAGAAAGTCGTGGAACAGGATTGAAGCCCAGAAGGGCTCTCATTCAAGAGTCAGGGATTACCTACATTTGGGAAATGCAGAGGGGTCATAGGACTATAGACATTAAGAGTGAGAAAAGGAAGTAGTCCCCAGCTCCTCCTACCCAACCCCTCCAACCTGGAGAAAACAATAGAAAGAAGACCCAAAACCTCACATTCCAGAACATTAGATTTATACTGTGGTGGAAATCACAAAATCCTAGGTATACAAAAATGAAGCTGGCTGGGATCGTTCTCAGTGTGCATGTGACATTACCTACTGCCCAGAACTGTGCAATAAAAGTAGAACAGAATTTTAAGTCATCGAGCTTGTTAATGGAAAATAAGGGTGTTTCAGTTTACCACACAAGACTACATGTAGACCCAACTGAATGTTAACTAGTTTTAAGTCTTAATTCTCACACTGTGTTTCCCACAGTTTGATGGCTCTTTTTCTTTCAACAAATTGGTTTTACAAGGAAGAAATAAGAGTCTGAATATTAGCTAACAATTATTTAAGCATTTTTGGGTAGCTTAGGCATTCTATCATGCTTTTTACATGCATTGTCTCATCATCCTTTTAAGGAAGAAAAAAAATCCGAGACACAAAAATTAATTTGCCCAAACATAATGACCACATGGTAGTAATACAGTCAGGATTCACAAGCCGAAGTGATCTGACACCAGTTGAAGGTCTTAAATTGGGTAGGACTTTAATTAATTTCCTTATCATTTATTTTGTTGTTAGCACCATATTTATAGTTCATTTTCTCACAAAAGTAAGAACTGACCAAACGCCTAATTGATAACGCCTTATTTATTTTTTATAGCAGCTTTTGTTTATTTATATATTTTTAAATGATTTATTTATTTATGCTTACGGGGGGGCGGGTACAGACCAGACATGCAAGGGTGGGGACAGAGTGGGGAACAGAACAGGCAGATTGGGGAAGTACACTATAGCAGCTTTTATAATGCTGTTTTCTGAGGCCATATTGTTGGATGGGTATGAAATTGTGTACTTGCAAAAGTATAAATGTATTGTTTAAAATATTTGTGCATCAAATAATTATTCTCATTAAATAGGTTGGAGTGATGAAGGATTTATCATGCCCATGTTTTAATTTTGAGTAATAATACACATTTCTTGAAGTTGCACCTTGTTTTAAGCAGTTTAAAGTAACCATTTTCTTTCTTTTCTGAAAAATAATTTATATATCTTATGAGAACAAAGTAATTACGGCTTTATAAGACCAGAGGGCATAGTTAAATGACTGGCAGCTAGTACATTTGATTTCTACCTTCTGAGACACCCTTGCACTATTCAAAATGCTTAGACAAATAGGTTGCTGAATTGTTACTAAGGTAAGAAATCTATAAAATATGTGAAGACTAAGAAAACAGATAAATAGCTTTACTAACTTAGAAAATCAGCTTGGAATATTACTTTTTTATGATTCTTTTGTCATCACTTCTGTTATCTAAAAATTAATGAAAACTCAACACTGTTAGACTTTAAATTTGTAACAGCAAAGTGTCTTTTTTTTTTCTCTAATTTTCAGAAGTCGGGATATCTAAAGAGGAAGCCTTAGAAACTCTGCAAATTATAAGAAGAGAATGTGTCACAAATAAAACAAGATATGTTGGTACAGCTGAGTCAGGCAAGAAGTGTACAGCACTGGAACTTCTTGAGCAGGAGCATACCCAGAACTTCATAATTACCTTCTGTTCAGCTCTAGATGATATTCTTGGGGGTGGAATACCCTTAACCAAAACAACAGAAATTTGTGGTGCACCAGGTGTTGGAAAGACACAATTATGGTAAAACAAAATGTTCCCCTCTTCAGGATGGGCTTAATAACAGTATTATATTATTGGTCTACATTCAGGAAACCAAAAAAGGCATGCATGTGTTCTTAACTGTGCAAATTTGTGTGCATCAAACAAAAATCAATTTATTTGTGGTACTGCAGAACCCCACCTTGATAAATTAATATAATTATTTTGATAGCAGATTTTGTTATACAACATTGTAATGCCATTGAGGTGAACAGGCAGTCTCTGCTTTACTATAGAATTAATTTGAGCATATGTTTAAAAGCAGATGTATTTATGATAAAAAAAAAAAGGTTTTCATTGTTAAAAAATCATTAAAAAGTCCTTAATCGTGATTCTATGGGCATATCTTCTCCCTAACCCAGTGTATTCAGAATCTTTGAGAGTATATTTGTATTTACAAAATACTTAGTAGCCAATGGATGATGCTCTAGAGTTTGGAAATTCCCGCTTTAGGTATTCATTATGATTTCTTAGTTTGACTTCTTTTTTTTTTGACAGTATGCAGTTGGCAGTAGATGTACAGATACCAGAATGTTTTGGAGGAGTGGAAGGTGAAGCGGTTTTTATTGATACAGAGGGAAGTTTTATGGTTGAGAGAGTGGTAGACCTTGCTACTGCCTGCATTCAGCACCTTCATCTTATAGCAGAAACTCATAATGGAGAGGGTATGTTAACACGTGGTCCTCTTTTTTTCTGTATGAAAAGGTAATTTGCAATTGTACCCCTCTCAAACTTGGGCAAGGGACCATTTGGAATGTGAACCTTAATGACTTGATGGTGTACTAGGATTAAATCTCTTGCAAAATGAGAAATGTTAAAACTTGAACTAGCCTCTTTTTCCACTTTTATGGCCCTTTTTACTGTAAGAGTTCTAAGGCAAAACCTGTATATGTATTTATTTCTATGTATGACTTCAATTCACTGTGCTCCTGCTTGTCAGGTATAAACTAATGTTGAATATCTTAACAGAAGTAAATGTATTCAATACATTTAGTAGAGATTGACTTTCATATTGGTTTGTAAAAGCAAAGGTAGCTTTGAAAACTATATCTGAAAATATTTGAAATTTTGTAATTGACTTCATGACTGAGGCAATTGTATAATTAAAGTGTCTGGGAAGCTTTTTTTGTGCTTGTTACATAGAAATAGTGTTGTTTTACGATTTATTTATTTATGAATACAGAACTGGGGTACAGGCTAGAGGTAGAGGGGCAATGAGAGGATTCACCAGAGACAGAGTGGGGAGCAGATTAGGCAGACCAACAAAGTGCACTGCTGAAGGGAGCAGCGGACAAGACAGGAGAGGTCTGCTGTGCCATGTGGATCACCTCTGGGGCCAGGAATCAAACACACGGTGAAGCAGCTAATATATAAGAAAGTGGATAGATGAAAATAAAAGATCAGGAGTTATAAAATTATAGTTCATTGTCATAATTTTACTATAATTTGTCATCTTTTCATTGAAGAATTATTCAAAAAATTTTGAAGCACTTTGTTAAAAATACTGTTTTTACAATCACCAACATAATAAAGCGGGTACAACTAATTGTTTTAAATGTGTTTGATTGTTTATTTCAGAGTACACAAAAGCTTTGGAGGATTTCACTCTTGAAAATATTCTTTCCCATATTTATTATTTTCGTTGTCGTGACTACACAGAGCTACTGGCCCAAGTTTACCTCCTTACTGACTTCCTTTCAGAACATTCAAAGGTACGAGACAAACTATTGAAACATAACTAGCCAGTATCTTCAGCAGTATTAACATGAAAAATGAGCGACAAACCATTTCAGAAAGTCTCACTCTTAGCTGTTCTATGATTTCTTTATATTTATTTAACAAATATAGTCACTCACACATTCTCTCATTCTGCATTAATAATTTTTTAAATACCCATGGTAAGAAATTGGAACTAAAGAAAGAAGTTCTGCCTCCAATAATGGTAGAATAGTTTTCTATGAAACAAATTGTATAGAAAGGTAAAATGAAAAATAAAATTACTCTTCTATTGCTTCCTAGCATCTCTCCCCAAAATTGATCATTATTAAGTTTTTTTCTGTCATCCCGTTTTTATACATATTGCATTATCTATTACTTTTTTTTTTAGTAGTAAGAGCCACATCAGACTTGTAGACTGACCCAAATTTTCTCTATAGCTCTACGTTCTTAAAATCTGATGGGGTCTTTGTTGGTCCTTAGTTTGTGGAAATGGAAGATATGATTATTTTTCTGACATTGCAATATTTTGCTACAACCTCAGTTTTTTCAGATTTCCACAATATGAATAATTTATCTTTATTTATGGGAACAATCTCATTTCTCTTTTTCTTCAGTTTTAATAATATTTTTGTACATCATTGTTTTCCTTTCAGGTGTAATTCCTACAGTTTTCCCACCATCATAGCACCTATGAACCATCATCATAGTCTCTTGTGTTCTTCCCTCACCTTTGATAACACCCCCAATCCTCCTTTGCTATATGCCTCAAATATATGGCCAGCTGTCTTTCTGATGTAATTTCCTATTACTCCCTCTCAGTACTTTTTGTCTGATCCTTAGATATGCCAAACTTTTTTGGGTCTTAGGAGCTTTGTTTATGTTCATTTATATTTGAGTTGACTTTCCCTCCTAAAGGTACTTTTCTTTTGCCTACTTTGCTTGATGCTTTTCTCACATTCAGCCTGATTTAGTCTCTTTCTACCCTATCACCTGCTTATTCCTCCATCATTTCCATCAGTTTTAGTTTTTTGAAAGTTCCTATCATTATCAGAAATTATTATATATATTTGTGTGCATGTTAATTGTACCTTATTCCACTAGAACATATCCTGCAAAAGAGCAGGGACCTTTTCTCTTCACTATGGTGGTAGTTATCAATAAATTTTTGATGAATGAAGGAATGAATAAATACAGTGTATAAAAATTACTAACTTTGACATAACTTCATAAAAGCCTCTTCTTTGACCCAATCTTATGAGATAGGGGGAAAAAATTGTGCCAAGACTTCAGTGTGTTTTTCAATATAAAATACTTATATAAAGATGATATATAATTGTAAATTATATGAAAATTGTTATTATTCCTTTTTGTTATTTTTTTAAAGTTGATAAATTATCAAATCCAGAGGATTTTTTAACTTTTGGTGATTACTGCAGAAAGCAATGGATGAGTGATTTATAACTCCAAAATAAAGCCTTTGGAGGATTGAAAATAGAGTACTGGATTTTATGTGTTTCTTTTTTCTGCAATGGACTGTTTTGGGCAAAAATGTCAAAATTAAATGGTATTTTTCAATGCCATTTCTGTTGTTTTTAATACCAAAGCTAATATCATTATTTCTTCTGTACTTAGGTTCGATTAGTGATAGTGGATGGTATTGCTTTTCCTTTTCGACATGACCTAGATGATCTATCCCTTCGTACTCGATTACTAAATGGCTTAGCCCAGCAAATGATCAGCCTTGCAAATAATCACAGATTAGCTGTAAGTATAGTCAAGAGACTTCTACAATAAAGTTAGAATCAAAACAGTAATGTCTATAAAGCAAGTAATTCAGACACTAAGGTTTGAAGTTTGGTTTAGTTTCTATTAAAAATCTAGTCATAATTCTCTTGTATCAGTTTTGTAAAATAAAAGACATAATTAAGTTGCCATATTTTAAAATTGGACTTTGTTAGATAAAGAAATGTCACTGTAGTGTTTGGTAACTGTAGTGTTTGTCAAAGTATACGTGATATCTTTCAGGCAAGCTCTTCCAACAGCCCCCTTTTTTTTTAACTGTATGTCTTGATAGTATATAATCATAGACTCAGATGGATAGGAATGTTGCATTGTGTAAACTACCTAGACATTTGGAAGTAGAGCTAACTCTTCGAGTTTTGAAATGTGAAGAGAGAGGTAAGGATATTCTCTGGCTGAAGAGGAAGAAACTTCTTTTCATTATTGCCTATGTGTCATCACTTTACATTCTTCAATCCCATCCCACCATTGATATACCTACTTGGTCTGGAAGGGCATTTGGAGGTCAAATTGCTTCATTTGATTTTCTTGTCTTTTCACCTGATTAGGTTCTAGTACATACCAGTAATATGTCATAAAATAATAAAGAACATTTAGATAAAATAATTTAAAGACATACATTTTTTTTTCTTTTGAATTTTTATGTACTAGGCTGAAAGGTTACTTGTCAATGATTTTTAAGTTAACATTTTGGTATCAGTGAAGAGCCCCAGAAGGGGGCGCTCAAGACTAATGGATCACAGACTTTTTTAGTTTTTTCGGTTGTTTTTAACAGAAATAGCTTATTTCTTATTTATTATTTAATATTATTTAATAGCTTATTTATTATTTAAAAAGAGTAAACAATAACATGCATACTGTCCAGTTTTTACGAAGAGTAACACATACTAATGTTTAAACAAAATATATCCAGATGTATCAAGTGGAAAAGTTGAAGTTGTGTGCCAATATAATAAGTGCAGTTCTATTTCTGAGAAAAATTAAAATTAATGTTTGTACACTTATATTTTGCACATATATATGAAGCAAAATAATCTGATCAGCCTTAAGAGTGGCCACTTCTAGAGAGAGGATTTTGTCAGATTGAGTACCTACTTTTCCCTCTAAATTAGCTTGATAATAACCATGTATAACCTTTGATAGTAAGTACACTTTATAGTTGTGTTAATTTTATTTTTTAAAAAGATTTACTTTTTATTTACTTAGGCATACAAGAACTGGGGTATAAGCCAGAGGTATAGGAGATGAGAGGATTCACCAGAGACAGTGGGGAACAGAATAAGCAGATTTGCTGAAATACACTGAGGGGAACAGTGGGCAAGACAGGAGAGGTCTGCTGTGTCATGTGGGTCAGCTCCCTGGTCAGGATTGAACTCTTGCCACAATGGCAGGCAATAGCTTGATAAACTCTTAGGCTTTAACCCCTGGCACACCTGGGAGACTCCCCCCCCCCATTTTATAATTGTAAGTTATATAGGCCTTATTGTAAAGAAATTTGAATCTAAACAATCAAAAATATAGAAAGTAAGCAGTTATACTATTTATAATACCCAGAGATAGTTCTTTTTTTTTTTTTTTTAGTTTGGTGTACATATTTTCCCAAGCTTATTCTGTGCATACAATGAGATCATATTGTGCACTGTAATGTAAAGCAGTTTTATTTTTTACTAAATATATTGTGAATATCCACACATACATACTAATTAGTGTACTTTGCCTTAACATCTACAATAGTAAATTACCATTGTGTGATTGCAGTATAGTATATAATCAGTGCTGCCTATTGATTATTTTTAAAACTGGCACCAACTTTTTCATTACTGAACAACTTTACATATGTATTTTTATGCGTCTGTTTAGTTAATTCTGAAAGTATTAAGGCAAAAGAAAATCTCCTTTATTTTTTAAGGTTTTATTTATTTATGCATGCAAGAACTGGGGTACAGGCCAGATTGGAGGGGGTGAGAGGATTCACAGATACAGAGGAGGGAACAGAACAGTGACTGAAGTACATTGATGAAGGGAGCAGCAGGCAGGTCAGGAAAGGTTTGCCGTGCCATGTGGGTCACCTCCCTGGCCAGGGATCGAACTCCTGCTGTTATGGCTGCGACAGCTTCATAGTGCTATGCTTTAACCAGTTGCACCACAATGGAGGGCCCTCATTTTCTCATATCTTTACAGCTCAGAGTCTTTTATTTTATTATAAAGATTTATTTATTTATGCATATAGTACTGGGATACAGGCCAGAGGTGCAGAGATGGTGAGAGGCTTCATCAGAGACAGAGTGGGGAGCAGAACAGACAGATGGATGAAGTATGCTACTGAGTGGAGCAGTGGGTGAGACAAGAGATGTCTGCTGTGCTGGTGTGGGTCACCTCCCGGGCAGGGGCTCCAGCTCAAGCTGAAGCGGCAGTAGCTGCAGCTGCTAGCTTTGCAGTGCTGGCAGCATGCCTACCAGGGAGGGTCCCAGAGTCTTTTATACTTGTGCTGAACTGATATGAAAACAACTTATAAAAATAAATTTATTTGGCCCTCCCTGGCGGTGCAGCGGGTTAAAGCACAACACTGAGAATCTAAAGCCGCTTCTGCATGAGTTCGATTCCCGCCTGCCCCGGAGGTGACCACATGGCCAAGGCAGACCCCCCCTGCCCCGCCCGCTGCTCCCTTCAGCAGTGTACTTCGTCGATCTACCTGTTCTGCTCCCCACTCTGTCTCTGGTGAAGCCTCTCACCGTCCCTGAGCCTCTGACCTGTACCCCAGTTCTGTATGCACAAATAAATAAATCTTTAAAAAAAAAATACATTTATTTATTAGAATTTTTTTTGTCCATTGTATTGAAATACATCTTTATTTTCTTTCATTTTTAGGTTTATCGCTATAGGTTTATATGGGCAGTCAGCCAGAAAGCAATAATGGAAGGGGATAATTTTCCAACACTCCTTGTAAGGTCAAATTTTAGGGGTTTTTTTTTTTGGTTTTTTTTTTTTGAGAAAAGCAGGCCCTTTACTGTTTATGAAATTATTTCTGAGTGGCAAAAATTCCATATTTTTCACCTTTATTGCTCCATTCAATTTTGGCTGCCATAGTCAGACAGACAAAAAGAATGATGACACTTTTTTCTTGTACCGGTAGTGTAGATACATCCTTTTAAAGTATACAATTCCATGACTTTTAGCATGTACATTAAATTGTACAACCATCAAACTTTAGAACACTTCCATCACAACAAAATAAATCCTTACCTATCACTCCCCTTTCTACCCTCAACCTTTAGTAACTAGTTTGCTTTCTATATCCATGAATTTGTCTTTTCTGATTCTTTTATATAAATAGAATCATATATGTGGTCTTTTAGGCCTGACTTCTTTCGCTTAGTATGTTTTCAAGATTTATACATCTTATATATTAGTATCATTTTTATGTCTGAATAGTTTTGCATATGACCAGTATACCACCTGTTGTAAAACATCTGACAGCAGATGACTTTTGAAACAGTGAAGTTCATAATTTTAAAGTGATGTTTCACTATTTTTAAAGACTCATTCTATGTAGGAATCACAGAATTTTCATTTGTAGAATAGTAAACCCGACATTTTTGCAGAAGCAGTGTATTTATTTTATAAATATTTGCTAACAGTGCAAATTCTAATTTGGGGATGTTGAACAGCTGGTAAACCAGTATGTCTATTTACATTTTCCTCAAGCTATGTAATGGAAAAACTAAATACTCCCTTAAGCACTTCTGTCTGATAGAACTTTCTTCAAAGAAAATACTTAGTCTAATACAGTAGTTGTATAGCTATTAAAATATGGCTGATGTGGCCCTCCCTGGTGGTGCAGCGGGTTAAAGCACTGCACTGAGAAGCTAAAGCCACTTCCGCATGAGTTCGATCCCTGCCTGCCCCGGAGGT